CAAAGCAACAGCTCTAGCTCAGATTAAAGTTTGACGAAAGTGTATATATCTGAAGACTAATGCTTCACATTCTCGTTCCTCATTATCAAATTCAAAAAACTCTCCTGGTCTAGACCGACCTCCATTGACCTTGTTTTCGTCTGACTTATCAATCAGGTATTAGGTTCTGCAAATTAAAGCTGACTCCTCTGACCTCCTGAAAGTCAAATGCAGTGTGCACCGCTAAGATTTCACCATTATATTCTCAATATTATTCACAGACAAGGAGCCATTATTTTCACTTATGCAGTTGACATGCAACTCATTGAAACCAGATGAAGGATTACCAACTTAGAAACTCAAACAGGCTGAAGGACGCTCTCTCATGTACACACATATGTGCACAAAAAGACATACATATATGGGCATAATATAACTAATGCAATTTTTTTATAATATATATATCTTACACATGCATTATTCTTTTCATGATGACTAGGCACACACCACTAAAGAAACTATGTGGTGATTAATTAGTTTCCTGTTTTATAACTGCCTTTTTATGGGAAATGAATTGCTAGAAAAATTAAAGGTTCACTGTTGTAGATTCTGGTTCATATTTCTTATGGTTTGTGAGTAACTAAGATATATAAATGAAATGAACGAAATGACCATATGAGGTAGCTAATGGAAATCTTAAAGGGTAAGAAGATGGTTAACGGCACAGACTAGGGTTTTCAAACCCTGGGAAAAATAGACTGAGAAGGGCCCGGGTATGAGTATAGTTCATAAGTCTTAAGCAGCCCACCTGGTCAGAAGTACTTTACATGAGATATAACGTCTGGCTGCATTTACGTGTCAAAACATTTCTTATTCCCCAGTGTTTCTGCAGTCACTGCAACTCGTTCTACAATGAAAAAGAAATCGGCTTTTGACCAAAGTTTTGAACAGGTCATCGAGCTACTGTTATCCCCGATTCTCTCCAGGCCCGAGAACATGTCTCAATATGCTTAGCTCCCCATTAAAAAACGTGGAAACTTCTAGACGGCTTTAACGCATGAGATGCCTCTGATTGGAAAAAGACATCGGACCCTCTGCTCAAAATCCTTCCACCGCCACACGCATATGGGCTTGCAGCAGGAGAAGAGATTAAACTCTCATGTTTTGGTTCGCTCTGAAACATCCACGGTTGCCTCCAGCGTGATGAAAAGGCTTCCGTGGATCCCGCTATCCAACGTAAACGAGAACATGGCGAGCCCTTGCCAGGAATGCCAGCGCGCCGTATTCACAGTTGCAGTCGAGCCACCGGGATCCTCCGCCAGTCCCCGGCTGTTTGAGTGGAGGACTTGCCAGAGGCGTCGCGGGCCGCCTCACACGAGGTCTCCCACAATCCTCCCCTTCCTTCAGACCGCAGTGCAGCTTCCTGCCAACGCGCTGTAAGTGTTTAGTGACTGCGGAGCTGCCGTCTGCCCTCTCCTGTGCGCTTCACACTTCATTTGTCCGGATCGCTCCCAGTGGCAGCAAATATTTCACTGGGACCAACTGCCAGGCTGGGTACGTAAATCAAGAATGGCGGGGGGGGGGCAGGGTTTGAAGCGCTCGGGACAGCCCAGAGGGGGCACGGGGGGTCAATTTTTCTCGATCAGTGTCCCCCCCACCCCCTTCCCAAAAAAAAGAAAAAAATTTTTTAAATCAACTTCTAGAATTCTGCTACAGCAGATTATCCCTAGATGTGTGTCCAGCAGATTGCGTCTGGACGTGCGCCAAGCTGTTTGGGACAGCAGATTACAGATTGTAGCTGGCTGTGACCTTATTCAAGAAAAAGGGCTTAAGTATGAAAAACGGTCAACATTCGGTGAAACCCAAGCTCTCGTATTTCAACGGAGTAGAAAAATATAGGAAATGATGCATAAATCAGCATTCCTAAAATAAAGACTGAGAGGTGAAGGGAAAATACACAGGCTTCTTGTTAGTTTGGGCACGAAGGATCCCGGATTATTGGGAGGTGATAGAGCTGAAGAACTCGTCGAAGCTGAGTAACAAGTTGTACCTCGGTTTATTACATTGTGCATTTTCCTTAGCTTGCGTATTAATCAATTCATTTATACGGGTTCTAAGATTGGAATGTTTGATGACCATCAGTAAACTTTAAGAGTCACTCTGGGGTTAGTAATAAAAATGTTGCTCGTGTTGCAGAAATAAACACACTTTTAAAAGAATGTCAAGGATGCTGCCTGCTTACATGATTCATATTTTTTTGTAAATTATTAATAGTAATATTCATTTACTTTACAAATAAGCCTGCAATGTGTTTGGGGTTTCAAATTGTTTGACATATTCTGAGATTCTGAACTACTTTTCAAGGACCGAGCTGTACTCCAGCCGAACCACAAAGAGACGGTTTTCCATTGTAGAATGTTAGCCGTACAGTACCTGAGCCGTAACCACACCGACATGGCCTGGTTTCCTGGCCAAAGCATTACTAAACTGAGCTGGTGGCGTCACCTCCGTCAGGTTGGTCGAAAGGCACAGAGACATTAGTAGTATCACACATCGTGATATATCGATGCATCCCTCATAACTCGGAACTTGAAAATTTCCAGCCACCTACATGAAAACGTACTATAGAACAGCTGAACGGAATCATTCGTAATATGAATTTACGCAAGCTAATGCTAGCGTTTGATCCTAACATAACACAGTGGTTCTCACAGACATGCTAGCAGAAATTAGCACACAGTAAATCATGATGTACACCGTGTGAACAGTAAATAAGCATCTCTTTGGTTTTTACGTCACTGTTGCTCTCCAAATCGGGCAGCGCAGTTTCTTCGCCGACCCTTCTGCAGTGGAAAATTGAAGTGAGCGGGAACTGTTCTGTAACTAGTGCCTCTTTGTGGTATGGGTTGGGTGGAGCCTGGTTCCTGTCTGCCAGTGGAAAAGCACCATGGAATCGCATTCAGTAGGTTTCCAGTTCAAATCTTGTGGTTGTTAGATTGGTTTCACCATTGGGCCCTAGTACAAGGGTCTTTAACCCCAATTGCTCCAGGGACTGACTCTGTGTTCTCATTTGTATATCGCTTTGGATAAAAGCTTCTGCTAAACAAATAAATGGAATTATATATCCATCTATCCATCTGCACTGGATAAGTGCAGTGAGTCTATTAGATCAAGTATAAAGCAGAAGGATATGCCATAAAAGCTTAAGTGACAACAGAACAAATGTGAGATAAAATGTGTGATATCCAGACAGCAAAACATCATAGAATTTCAGCAATAAATTCTCATGCTGAGATGGATTTTTCACTGTGCATTAATATGAATTTCCCCTCTTCCCTAATGTCACTATCAGTGACTTTCTGTTGATGACAGTTTTACTGTTAGACAAAAAAAGCCTCGCAGCCAGTGCTCTGCGCTTTTCTGCTTGTGGCATTTAACAGCGATCACGAAAAGCCGTGGATGACTCTGGTGATACAAGCACCATGTTGTTTTCTGCTTCTTGTTAAAAGCAACTTCAATATATCTGTCTCATATTACATGATTATTTCCAGCCAAAGCTCGCCAGTGAGGAACAAAGTGGACAGGCGATGTGACACCGAAAAAGCCCTTTATTGTTTTTTCACAAAGTCAAGGCAAGATGAGACCAAAATGACGTCGGCTATGTCACTGACTGCTAAGGAACAAGAGGACAGCATCAATAAATCAATGGTGATGTAAGTGCTGCAGTGCTTTGAAAGTCATACTAAGTGTCTTGAGCAAAAATAATAAGCACAGGACACACAAACATTGCCATTTATTACTTGTTTTCTCCCCTTTGCTTTGTAATTGCAAATCTACATATATATTTCTATATCTATATAGAATGATGTGCCCAGAATAAACATTCAAGCAGGATGAAATGAGCAGACATATTCATATTTTTGTCCTCCTGGTTCGATTGACGGGGTAGAATTTTGAAACCCAGGTCAAATTTATCCACACCGCAGTGGCATGGAAATCACCTGAACACACACTGAATATTTTCTTTGGCTCTGCGAATGGTTGTAGAAATACAGCAGGCAGGCCTGGGTTAAGACGCTGACCTCTCCTACAGTAAGAGGAAGACAGAATGGAATGTTTTTCACAGTTACTCCATGCAGCAAATGTCAAAGTCCTACTGCAAATGCGGAAGCCATGCATTTTATAATTCTATAATTCGCCTAAATATCTTAACATAAATAATTCATACAGAAGTATGTAATCGACACATTTTTAAATTCGGAACAGTCATGGAGAAGAAAAGGAAATTCAAGTAGTCCTTCACCCAGCAGCCGCATTTTAGTTGTATAAGAATCAGACCATGAGCGCATTTGTACCTGTATGTATGTGCAGAATTTGTGCATCAGTGCTGTCCTATGAAAAGGACTTTCATACGGAGGTGGTACGGCGGCTCAGTGGGTAAAACCCTGGCCTCATACCTCTGTGGGTGGGATGGGCTTCCTCCAGTTTCCTGCTGCCATTAGGTGAATTGGTGTCTCTGAATTTCACATCTGTGTGAGCACTGGCACCGCGACCAGGGTGTACCCTGGACTCTTGCAGTATGCCGGTGTTTCCCAGTCGCAGACAGCCCATGTTTTTGCTTCCTAGTAACAATGTGGATTGCCTGGCAGGGAGCTTGGAGGGAGCAAAAATGTGGACTGTCTGTGGGTCCCTAGGGACTGGGTTGGGAAACGCCGCTCTATGCAGTCCGAGATTGGGTGCCCCCCCCCCCAAGATGAGTGATTGAAAGATGGATAGATATTCATACAAAATTTGAAGTTTAATAAGTGTTACTATAAATCCGAGGTGAGGTTTGTTTAACCACAACATTCAGTTAAGAAAACTGTGAATTAAATTATATCCTTATCTTTGGTACTACATTCAATATCCCTTTTTTGTCTTAGTTTTATTGTTTTGAAAAACATGATTTATTGTGTCTTGTATCCAATGCAACTGTTACAGCAACTCACTCTAGGATACTGGATTAATACACACACAAAATGTACGGGCGCATTTATAACAAAAATGCCATTTTTATTCTTGAAAAACAAATATTACAATCATGAGAAAATGTCCAGACAATCTCACTAACTGTTGCTCAATTGTTAGTCCCTTATAATCCAGAAAAAAGACATTCTCACAATCAACAAAGTTTTAAAGTCAATAAAACAAATGGAAACAACTGAAAACATATACAAATTCTGTACAGTATGTGCATGACAAGCAGTGAAGACTATGAAAAGAGTTTTGGGGAGAGTACAAAAAATGTACTTGTTTGTTTGTTTTACAGCAGTTTCACAAAAACAGAAAAACAGAATGCACTGCTATTGGATAGAACCCCCCCCACACACACAAAAAAAAGATACAGATGTTTTGCATGAAAGTATGACTGCGGAATAAGACGTACATTATTTATATCGACACAGATTTATAATACAAAGTTATGCTTGTGTGCTTACAGTTTAGTAAACATTTTGTAAACAATGTTCTTTTCACAGCCAAAAGAAACCTTTACATAGCAAAATACAATGAAAACATCCTGTCTTGAATGAGTTTACTCATTCATTTCTTGATACCAGATATTGTTCTTTAGCATTATAAAAACTCTGTTTGTTGGTGCACAAATGTCTGACGCCTAATATGTCACCCTCTTGCATTCAAGAAACACCTCTTTAGACCAATGTGGACATTGCAGAAATATTCTCAGATTATTGGAAAAACATATTGCTCTCTAGCCTAAGGCTGAATTAATAGCCATTCTGATGTTTATTGCTTTCATGTGCTATCATAAGTAAATGCTTTATTTCTGTGTAATTACATGCTGTAAATAGAATGGCATTTCTTCGTGCTGCATTTCAGAAGACATATGTATATTTAAATCACTTATATCTCTGTCAAACATATATGCTGTGCTGACTCTGAAGGTAAGCAGTTCTGACCCAGTGTAGGCCTTTTACCTACACGTAGTATTTCCTTCCTTTGCAACTTATTAAACGATCCAGATTCACTGCAAGATCACAGATAAATGTGTAAGGTACAGTTTTGTAGTGTTCTAGTACCTTGCTGTAATTATTTTGATTTAGATTATGTTCTCCAACAAAGCTTAAAACACACAATGTCTGACATCATACAATTCTGTATGCATGAGTGTGAATATCCCCTGATGGACAAGCATCCCAACCCCAGCTGCCCTGTGTTAAGCGGTTAGAGCAGTGTTTCGTAATCCGGTCCTCGGGGACCCATGGAGCAAAAACGTGAACTGGCTGAAAGGGAGTTGGGAGGGAGCAAAAACGTGGATTGGATTGGGAAACAGTGAGTTAGAAGATGGATGGAGAGATCTTAAAAGTGGGCAGATCCTGAATCTGAATTCTTTAATAAGGTCGTTGAAGGCTAATTTAAGATTTCATGCAGGTGTTTTTTTTCTTTGATAATGATGGTGTGTCCCCCCCCCCCCCCCCCCCAGTGTGATGACACTTAGGGGATTAACAAGCCCTTAATGCATTTTAGATGGGCCCCCATTGCCTATGTGACCGACTTTTCCAGAAGCTTCTTCCGATTTAGATATTGAGCAAACAACTAGGATATGGAAGTGCTTCACGTGATACAGAAATACAAAAACTGTAATGAGATAAACCAGGGTGCTGCCTGCAGCCATATTAAATTACACTATACAGAACATCTCAAAAACAAGTGCTTAATATATGAATACAAAGACATATTTTCAAAGCCCTTGTCGCCAGCAATTTAACATCAGATTAAAAATATTGTACCTTTAATTTTAAATAGGTGACATTGTTTAATGGCTGCAACCTTTATGCAAATCTTGAAACTGGACTAATAGTAAGTGCACATGAATATATATATATATATGCAAACACATGAAGCTGGGCACCTATGTTTAGCATTGCAAATAAATAAAATGAAAATACAACATGAAGTAGTTTCTGCTTTTTCAAATTGTTCCTTCAAATTTCTTGAGGGGAGAAATGCCTTTGCATCAAATAAATAAAACATCTTTATAATAGTTTCATAGGTTTTAAACAATTTAGCTATAAAACAACACCCAGAGCATGTAAAAGAAAATTAATTTAAAATGTACCCTCTAGTATCTGAGACAAGTCAATCGGTCAAGAAACATGTTATGTACCGGAACCAACATAAAATAAACTTACCATCAGTTGAGAATACTTAAAAGTATCTGCTATGCCTCCTCTCTTACTCATAATCTGGCTACTCTTGCATGTGTACTGTAGCATGTGAGATATTTATTGATTTTAAATCATAATTTTAAGGGTGACACCCTGAATGGGTAATGTTTGCATTTGTTGCAAATGATGATGAAACTGAAACATAGCGCTTAAAATATTAATGCATTCATCATTGTCGCTATGCAATAAATTCAATATTTCATGAAACAAAAATAGTTTGGTTTCGGATTCTCATTGCATAGTCAATTGTAACTGAACTGCATTGTTGATACAAAACCTAAACACATAAAAAAATGTCTAATGTTCTAGACTTTCAGATGTACGCATTGCACCAACTGTTTAAAAAAAAAAACTATAAAATCAAACAGAAAAAACAAGAATTCCTGATGCCAGTGGCTGCCATTTGCTTACCCTCAGCACCAGGAAGTCAGTAACTCCATCCTGTTAATTTATATTCAGATTAGCCAACAATGACAATATATGCGCAGCCAAGCAGCTTTAAATACACAATTTCTTTGAAAGTTTTGTTTGACATTTTGTAATTTTTATATTTATAATGTTCTTAACTTAATACAAGAAAAAACAACATTTCTTTGGGTACTTAGAAAATAAAACTTAAATTTTAAATTATTAACTTAAGAGATCCTCCAAAAATATAATTCAGGTGTCAAAGAGTTCATTTCCACATACAATATATAATTTATGGCTTTATATTATACTGCTTTTCAGTAAGTCCCAAGTTTTAAGCAAACCATTTAACATATAAATTAAACAATAAAAGAGCAGAAACACTGACAGAACTTATTGCTGGTACCACTGAATATAACAGAACTTCTGTCACACGCATAAATATAAAAGAAGCAAAGACTATCTTTCAGTGTTATCGAATAATTCAATTGCTATAAAAACTATACTCATAAAAGAGCCCTATAAAAATATATGTTCATCGCAATGCATATGGAAGCTCTTTTTTTTGCCAGTTCAGTAATTCAAATGACCATCTTGCTTGCTCACTGATTCTGCAGTGGAATTTCAAAATATTTCAGTAATGCCTTTATTCCCATTAGGTCCTCCTTTACTGCTCAAAGAACATGTCCAAGATGAGTACCATGCTGGATAAATATCGAACGGAAGGATACCTGTACAATTTTAATTTGAATAAAAATTAATGTAGAAACATTAAATGATGCAGCGCACCTGCAAAAAGAAACATTATTTCCCATGAGTGTTTGTGCTTACAAAACATAAATAAAGAATAAGACACTGGTCTTTGACTTCTATCTATTGCTCTTCTCAATGGCAAAAATTGGTTAACCCCAAAAGCTGGATCTCAACGTGTTCAATATGGCCGCCACACGGACTCATCCATTCGCCCACTGGAATTTAGAATGGTCGGTGAACTACTGTGACTTCCATCTGCCTCCACCCCATCTGTCTGGTTGGGGAGGTTGGGGTTGATGAGAGAGCTGCCTGTCGAGGCACTGGTACAAGGAGGGAGCATCCGAGAGGGTGAGCGATCTCCTCCCGGCACCATGGAGAATTGGTATGACCCAGAGGATGTTCCGTAATAGAGATAGGGCGTACTGCTGGTCTGGAACGGCCCACTCTGGTTTTGAGTGGAGCCAGGGTAGGGCGGCGGCAGGTAAGTGTGGTAGTGGGTGGTAGTGGACATACCCAGAGACATCCCTGATGTGACTGGCGTCGGTGTGTAGGTGAAGGTGGCTGGGTAGTGCATTCTGGGACTTGGGAAGCGGCCCTCTGTTAGTGAGGAAAGGCCAGGAAACTGACGGTCAAACTGCCGGGGATCAGAGAACGGGCTAAGGTCAGAGGTACCTAAAATAAAATAAAATTAAAAAATTAGCTGAATTAATCTGATAAATCACATGTAAGTACTTTTTAAGTATTTTTGCTCAAAGGTAACATGAGTAATTAGACTGAAATTCATCCTTAATATGTCTACAGTATGATTTGTATGAAAAATTTGTGAGAAATAACAACGCAATTAAATATTATGAATATATCCATCCGTCCAAGTCAGGGTGAATCTGGAGCCAATCCCAAATACCCCAGGGCACGAGGCAGGGGAACACCCTGGTTGTGATGCCAGGTAATTGCAGTATTAGGTATTGAATGAATTTCATAATAAGTATTTTGTCAGTGCTCCAAATACAGACACATAGGCATAGCTATTAAATATCTAATGGCCAGATGTTCACTGCTTAAATTCACATGGGAACGAGACACGTGCAGAGAATAACATACATAACCTTTGTTTGTGTGATAATAGCTTAATTCGCTCATTCATTCCCAAAGTCATAGATTTTGAACTTCTGAGGGAAGATGATAAGGCCATTACACAGCTCTTCAGTGTTGACGTGTGACGTATAAGAGCTCACTTATTTTTTTACAAGGGGGACTTCCAACACGTACTGTAAGCTGTTTCATTCCTGTGTGCTCATCCACATGCTCTAACACAGACTCTCCCAAGCTGAAAAGAATATTTTCCATAATGTTCCTCATGACTTGGCTGCCAGTGAGTCACTTGGTAGCAAAGAGGAGTATCTAGGTTTCAGACTCCCTGAGCAGAGGAGATTTCTGCCGGTATCAAACTGACATGAACTAAAGGACTTCCACCATGAAGGACTGTGCCAGATTTCTGAAGAGCACTTCCAGATCATCGCTAACTTACTGCCATAGTTTAGGTTGGCTGTACATTGTGGCCAGAAACTTTGAGTCTCAGTTAAATCGTTTTTTGCTACTTTTTTGAAAATACGGACGATGACTTTTGTTTTACCGGTCAAATCCAACGACACGACGCAAGGGAAAGTCGTGAAAAGTTTAATATAAGCCAAAGAGCAGAGAAACTGAAAAATAAACAGGAAATAAAGATATAGAATCATGAGATATTTTTGTGAAAGGGCTGACCAAGCATAATATAATATTTTTTTACTGTTATAATAAAACGTTAGCTGTAAAAAAACATACTTAATTCCATATCTTTTAAAAAGAAAAAAAGTAAATGCTATAATATATATGTATGACCTCTGCAATTCTTTAGGAAGTTCTAATTAATTGTAATAAAATAAATCCATACATTTCTGTCTGTATGGACATGCAAGAGTGCACATTTGTATGAATACTGGAAAAAAGATAAATCAGGTTTCCCACATATGGAAACGGTTTAAGGAAAACCAGTTTCCATGAAACACATAACGAGGTAAGGTTAGGCTCAGATGTGGGTGCGTGTGTGCGATTAGCTGCAGGAACGGAGCGAGCGGCTCTTTCCGACCCATTGCTGGGTTCTTTAGAAATTAAGAAAAAAAAGGTATAACGAGAATGAGGCCTTTCAAACGACGGTGTGGAAACGGGAAACGACGACGCGGAGGGCCTTCTTTCGTGTAACGCCATCGCATCCCTGTCGTAAATCACAAGGCGTCTTCCATGTCACCGTGTCTGCTGCTGGAAATCTGAGGGGCCTCTGTTTATAAAGCCTGCAAGTGGCAGGTCGGCACGCATTCAATAACCATGTGTAGCCAATTAGGGCGTTTCGTGTGTTTGCTCCGTGAGATCTGCCTTTAAAAAAAACAAAAAAAAAAACAACAGGAAATAGTCCTCAAGGGATTCTGGAGGATGACTTTTTAAGAAAAGGGTCAAGGTGAATTATCTTCTGGAGAAAAAAATTACACATCTACAGAGTGCATGCAAATCACTCATATGTTGACAAAATGAGTTGTATAAAAAGTTCCTGTGCAGTCTACTTTGTGAGAAAATCCATATTTCTACAATAATTACCAAGTTGAATTGTGCTATATTTTATCTACCCGAGCCTTCGTTCCACTCAATTACATATTACTGCTGTTCTGAATTCAGCTGATTCCTTGCGCAACTTGTTTTACAATCACCATAAATATTTTTCATATCTGTGCCTTTCTTAGTTCTGTGGGTCTTTGCGATTCTTCTGTACTAGTGCTGATGTTTAGCTGTCTTGCTGGACCATGGATGGAGGATTCATGTGGATTCTGGGTGGGGGTGAGATTGCTACTTCAAATGCCAACATGTTCCACCCAGTGTTAAATCATCATATAGGAGCCTTGGAAATCTAAGTAAACCTAGGAGGCTATTCTGAGTTGAACTCTGTTTTCTGTCTGTATCTGATTCACTAAAGTCCCTAAATATCAGTCACATTTATTATTAAGTACCAGAGGGAAAGGAATGTCTCCTCAGTGCCTGTCAGATAAAGGCAGCTCCTCTTAATACATATTTTCATGTTTCTTCTATATTATAACCCACCAGCACTGAACTGCTCTGCTATCACAGGGGTGGGCAATCTTATCCAGAAAGGACTGTTGGGTATTTGGATTTACGCTGCAACTCCCAAATTATATTACCAATTAGAGGACGGATTGGCTGAAGAGTTGGGTTTGAACAGCTGACTTGAAAGTTATCCCAAAAACCTACACAAACAGTGGCTCTTTGAGGGCAAGATTGCCCACCCCTGGGCTATCACAAACAGGTAACTTCCCTAGAGGCTACAGCAATATGCATAAAATAGGGCTAGTAGATAAAACTGTTGCCTACTGTTGTCAAGCTCTTTGTACATGACAGCAATGGAACAATATGATTCAACAGGGGCTCTAGGCAACAGTAGAACCGGCCCATTTCCTCTAAAACGTCCATCCCAATCAGTATTTAATGTGTCAGACTCTTCAATGTAGAGCATGAGCGCTAGCTGCAGGCCGCTCATAATGAAATCCAACACGATGCTGGCCAGAACAACCACAGAGCTATTGCTGACTTCTCTGGACCTCAGGAAGCTACTGGTTCCAGTCACTTACTGGGATAACAGCAAAGAACTCTGTCCACAGAGCTGAACGGCCAGGACCCTTGTGCTTTTGCTCAACTCACTATACCAAATATCTTGAAAACAGGCAGAAGGTTCAAGATTGTCTTCTAATAGACATCTGCTCTTGAGGCATCATAAACTTTCATAACAACCTCTTCAGAAATGAGGATTATGACCTTCCTATACACTTGAGAACTTCGACGTGAGGGGTTTCAGCAGCGTTTCCCAATCCAGTCCTTGGTGACCCACAGACAGTCCAAGTTTTTGCTCCCTCTTAGCTCCTGGTAGGACTGTCTGGCAGGGAGCTCGGAGGGAGCAAAAATGTGGACCGGATGTGGATATCCGAGGACTGGATCAGGAAACACTGGGTTACAGTATAAGTCCCAGCAGCAAAGTTAAAAGGGGTTTAACTCAAGCTTGGGACATCTGCAAAAAATATGGAACTTGTGGCCAGATGATTATAACAGTTGTAATTGAGGGCAGTCACTGAGAGAAATTTGCCAAGCTCTTAAATATAGGCTACCTTCTTTTCCTGCTTCTCCAGAAGAAAAGGAATTGAACAAGTAAACACTCCTTTTCCTTAGTAGTTGGTTAATTCTTTAAATGTATTTCAATAAAGTCACTTATCAGTATTATGTGTCTATTATTAACTGTGTTGGGTGATTGTGTGGAATAGCAGAGATGGTACACTGTTTTGTAATGAAGACACTGAGAGCTACGGCTTAGCAGAAGGTCAGACTAAATTGTTGTAAAACTCTCTCAGAAGTACTTGAGCAATGTGGCGTCTCTGTCCAAAAAAAAAAAAGGGGAGGGGACATTAAGACCATGAAGTACATGCATCTCTTTGAGGAAAGAACAAAGCCTGAGGTTTCGGAGATGAAAGGGGGATGAAATCTAAACTAATCAATTCCAACAAGGCGGTTGGCTGTAGTTCAAAACTGCCAACAAGCAGCAACACTGCAAAGTAATTTAACCTTCCCCATTTGCTCTAGGCTCAAAGTAGAGAGGGAGGGTGTGGAGCGGGGGCGATGCGGGGGGAAAAAAGAATCATAAAATAACCTGGCACTGAATCAAACAGGTGTACAAAAGGAAACCTGTTCTAATGACTGCACTAGATCTTAAAACAATCTCTCAAATTAGTGCCTATTTAAAGACAGGCAAGTTCTGTGTCCTTTGGAGTATCCTGCACGACATGTACAGTTTACAAACACCAAACCCCTGTATACTTTAAGGACGTCGCATAGACGGAGTCCGATGGACTGAGCTAGCGCCGATTTGCCAGATTTCTTCATTAACTTCATTGGCAGATCTGACATTTCTTTCCTGGAGGAAGGTTGTTTTTAACAGCTTAGGATAATTGTGGTGCGGTTGCCTTTCCACCGTTTGACAGAAACACATTCTTTTGAATACTGGGGCTTTTGTCTTCTTAGTGGGGCCGGGTGGCGGGGGTTGTGTTTTGTGCAACCTCAGCATTAGATTAGGGCGCAGACAGCGCTGCCTGCTCTCGCCATTACCTGAGATTCGTCGCGGCACGTCGCTGATGGCAGGCAGTCCGGTGCCGCGGGTTGATGACAACGGTGCTGTGGAGTGGATGGAGGGTGAAGCCATCTGGCTGAGATAGGGGGGGTAGGACTGTTCATAGGACCAGGGGGGTGAGGATTGAGCTTGTCGGGCTTCTGTGAAGATAAGACCAAGGGAGGAACCAGTGAATATATAATTATAAACCTTAGGGTGGGTATTATGAAGTACCCCTGACTCATGCCCTGTGCCTTCTGGGATAGATTCCAAACTCACCATGACCCTGTACTGGGATAACCAATATGAAAGATGGATGGATGGATATAAATACTGTAGCATAAAGATTTACAATTATTTCTGTTTTCGATTTATATAAATGAAAGGAGTTTAGGTTAACAGATCTAGACGACTCTGGTAGGGCACGTCGACCTACGAAGCAGCGCTAATTTATTGCGCGCTTAATTTTATCGCTCCTCTGCCTGTGAACTTTGAATACATCGACGTGGCTATTCAGAAAACAAAAGAAGTTTGCATGCCATGGTGTAAATCACAAGTGCTCGGTGCGCACGTCTTGAAAGTGCTAAAGGGTTATTTACTTTTTGTATTAAGTGTCAATTAAAATGATCAAAGACAGCGCGTTTAAAATTAGAGCGTAGCTGAGAGGGAAGGTGGAGTGCTCCCAGGGTGGAGTGATGTCACGTGACAAACGCATTCATTCACTTCACCTGTGCCTCAGTACTAATCACCCTAAAATGGCCTTTGTTACTTCCTCTAAGAACGTGCTGCGACTGATGCTGTACCTGAAGCATTACTTCCCTACATCTTACTCCCAATTTATAACCATGCGTTTTTCATTAGGCTCTGTTTTGGGCCTGTTCTTCCCTGCTGTTTCATTAAGCAAGTCTCCAAAACAAAAACCCTAATAAGAACATAAGAACATAAGAACTATACAAACGAGAGGAGGCCATTCGGCCCATCGAGCTCGCTTGGGGAGAACTTAACTAATAGCTCAGAGTTGTTAAAATCTTATCTAGCTCTGATTTAAAGGAACCCAAGGATTCAGCTTGCACTACGTTATCAGGAAGACTATTCCATACTCTGACTACACGCTGTGTAAAGAAGTGCTTCCTTAAATCCAGTTTGAAATGTTCTCCCGCTAATTTCCACCTATGGCCACGAGTTCTTGTATTTGAACTAATGCTGAAGTAACTATTCGGTTGAACAGCATCCAAACCTGTTAGAATCTTATAGACCTGGATCATGTCCCCCCTCAGTCTCCTTTGCTTGAGGCTGAACAGATTTAGCTCAAATAACCTTTCCTCGTATGACATTCCTCTAAGACCAGGAATCATTCTTGTGGCCCTACGCTGCACCTTTTCTAAGGCCGCTATGTCCTTTTTAAGATATGGTGACCAAACCTGTACACAATATTCTAGGTGAGGTCTCACCAAGGAATTGTATAATCTTAGCATTACCTCCCTTGACTTAAACTCCACACACCTGGAGATGTACCCCAACATCCTATTGGCCTTTTTTATTGCTTCCCCACACTGGCGAGAATGAGACATGGAAGCATCAACATACACACCAAGGTCTTTCTCATAATCAGCTACCTTTATTTCAGTAGGTCCCATAAAATACCTGTACTTTATATTTCTGCTCCCTACATGGAGTACCTTACATTTGTCTATGTTAAATTTCATCTGCCAGGTGTCAGCCCAGTACAATCCCTCCATCCATCGTTATGTGAAACTGATTCCCTCACCCTCCATGTTTAGGGAAAGTTTTACAGCAGAACAAGATGAGTATCTTAGAATACTGTAACTACAAAGGTGCTTCGGTTATGCAGCTCCCCTTATCCTAATAATTTGATCGTGATACATTTTGGTTGATAGTTTTTTAAATGGACTGTTTAGTTTTACCGACGCTGTACTAACAGACACCGTAGCTGTAAAAGCGATGTGAGAAAGCCAAATGTAAAACATGTAACGCTGATAAATGGTGTGCAAACAACCTAAATCAGCTTTTACATTGTATCATATACAACTCGGCGCCCCCAATATGCAAATACAGCATGCAAACAGCCCCAGAGCCAATTCTGTTTCCTGTTTGTCTCCTACACTCATAAACAAAGTGCCTGCACTGACTGCATTCCTCTCTGAATCTGGCCTGAGAACGACAAATAGACACATTAATCATTTGAATAAAATACATTTGTATGTTTGCTTTCTGTTGCTTTTCCAGTCTGAATTACAGTTGCCAAAAACAGTTCTATGTAAAATGAAAAAAGGAGAAAGGTCAGAAAGTCATTGACGATTTTAATTTTTACCATACTTAGATGACCTACGCTTGGGTTACAGCTGTGTAAAAACAGGATTACAGCACTTCCGGGAATTGATCTTTTATGCTATTAAATTAGGTATTTAATATTACTGGTAAAATACTACACTAATAGCTAGCTAGTGTATTAGATAATCACGGTCAGACAAAACTGCAAGCTCACGTAACAGTAGTGATAATAATTCTGATGTGATTAATAATACTTTTTTTCTTCTTTACGATGTCACCTCAATAACTACTGACTTTATATAGGCTTCAGTGTGCGCTGAGTGCATAAATCCTCGCAATTGCTCCTAAAAGACCGACAGCGGTCATGGTGCCGATTGTGAAACCGAGGAAGTGGTTACTTTAAACAGATGCGTGTGACGGCCTGCTATCCCAGGCCGTACCACACCACACTCAGCCATATTCCAGACCACGCTTGACCTTAAAGGATCCCCCGAACTGACGTGGGCCAAAAGTTTAATTTAATGATCACTGTTACACCCATAAGCCTGTAAGTCTTTTTTTTAAAGGATGAGAAGTGGCCAAAATCAACCACAGCACCGTGTTTAAGAAAACTTTTTTGGGGGGGGGGACGTGCTGACAGTCCGCCATGTAAGCAACCATATCTCTCTTACCGGATATCTGAGTTTGTCCTTGAGGATTGAAGGGAGTAGGGGCGGCGTTGAGCGACGGACGGGGGCTTTGCGTTGGTACGGCACCCCTTATGGTCGTCTGCCTGAGACGCTCCAGCTCGCTAAGCCGCTCAGAAAACAAGCCTGGCTTTGGTGGGTCCTCCAGCTTCTGTCTGTGTCCTGCCCGGTCAAAAAGAAAACATCATTAAGAAATGGGTGAGATGGTTTAATACTGCATAGCTGTGCAATGATAAACACGCATCACAATAAGAATCTGTCGTATCGGTTGCTGTCGCTCAGGCTATTGGTAGCATGATGTCACAGTGTAAAAGCCTATGCATGCATGAATTTTTGTGTATGTGTGTATACCATTAAGGAATTTATATTTCAATATTAGAAAATGCTTTTGATGCTGAAAAAAATGACACGACCGTGGCAACAAAAAAAAAACCAGCAAAACATAAATAAATAAATAAACACAAGACAGAATTCCTTGACTTTGTTGAAATGACAGTAACTTCAAATCTGATTTCCAACCAAATTAATCAAATTAGTTACTGGCAAACCTCCAACACCTGAAGAGACCAAATATTTAAGAATTCTGTGTTGTTAGTTGTATTTACTGCATTTGGGAGGAGAAAATGGCTCCTGGTGACATCAGCTAAAAAATGTTTTTGGAAAAAAAAAAGTTTGGAATACAATGTAATTAATACATTTTCCTTTGGATGCATAGCCTAGACATAAACAAAATGAACATTTTTGAATGGGATCGCCGTAATTCCATTAATACAATCGCCTCCGCATAAATTTTAAACACTGTCTATAACAACAAATCATATACTTTGATCCACAACCTAAAATTTCCACTGCATTTTGAGACCTAAGCTTTCCCACATTTGGAAAAAGTATGTTCCTGGTGAAAATTTTCTCCTAAAGATCTTTCATGTGGCTAAACTGAAACAGAATCAAAAAGAAAAAAGAGAACAGAAAAGCATTTTTATCCCTGTAATGAAACAAATGCTTTATTTTATTATTCTGGATAATGTATATGTGTCTGTATAAATATGTTATGTGTGTCTATTCAGGGACGTTTTTCCAGCTTTGCAAACTAGGACTCCTGGTCTGTTTTGCTGTAGAAAAAGCTCATGCCAACGAAGCAAGCAGGTAAACATCTCTGTTAACGATGCTTTAGATGTTTAGCCAGAACTTCATACGTAAAACTGAAATCTGTCTAAATGGATGAACTGCTACCTATTTGAGACAGCAATTTTCTACGTAACACTAATAAAAAGCAACAGTAAACCACAGATGCCATGGAGCACAAATGATACCATAAATTCCACAGAAGCTCATAACCTCGTCTGTCCAACTTTTATATTCATTTGGGAGGAGAAAAGAAGGAAAATCAAGGCTCGAACTTCTGGGTCTTTTCATCACTGAAGCAGGTCTGTCTGTCTAAGTGATTCAGTTCTTCTACAGTATTTTAAATAACAAACAGAAGAAGAAGTGAAACAGGCTCTCTGAAGTTCACAGGCATCCAACTAGAAAGACTAGACAGGCAGCCATCAGCCCTGCAAAACCTGATAATGTTCAACAACTACTCCACACGGAAGTCAGGTGTACAAAAGAGTTTGGTGCAAAAGGACAATTGTAGATGCACCACAAAGGGTAAATCAGCCAGAAACACTTGAGCTCTTAAGAAATTGCACCAGCTTCCACTTTGCTAATTACTGTAGTGTCCAAGGGTGTAGGATTGGGTATGGATGGTAAGTACATGTGCCTACTACTACTGTGGGAGTGTGTGTACTTTCGAGGCTGATTTGGGCCCTACCAATGCTGAAACCAAGCCGAAAACACTTTACTTCATTAGTATTCATTATTCAGCAGTCATTATAATGCATTATAGATACCTTAATAATAATGATATAATAATAATAATTCTAATGAGATATATACCTTATAGATACCTTCATAATGCATTATAATGCATTCATAAATTATTGTACACACGGCTATAACTATTTAAATAAAGGCATAACACATTATAGCGATGTTTAATATGCATTATGAATGCTCTATGAAGCTCTCAGTTATAATCCACTGTAGATACCTTCATTAGTGCAGTACGAAGCATCCTTAATTTCTAAACTGCATAAATGCATATAATCCTTTATGAATGCAACATAATGCCTTATGAAGGTATGTATAATGAATTTATTTGACTGCTTTAAGTAAATATCAGCAGTGTGTGTATGTATGGCTTTCGAACCAGGGGATTCATTCATAATTTGACTGAATGAAACAACCCCCCCCCCCCAAAAAAAAAAACAGATTTGAATTTAAATTATTGAGCCCCCATAAAAAAATCTAATTATGTGCTTTTGTTTTCAAGCTAAAAATGATCTACAATATATAGTGCATTTAATTTTAGCTGTGGTTAGTGTATACGGCTTTAACAGTGGGTGTATGGTCTTTACTCAGTGAATGACTAATGACTGCTTAATCATTTAGTAATGGGTCTTTTTACAGAAATCCCCATGAAAGAGAGGTTTCAGAAGGAAAGTTATACTTGGTTTCTGTAAATATTGCTATTGGGTTTTAGATACACCGGCTTGCCACCTAATCGAGCCGTATATATTAATACCCATATCGGATATCAGAGCTAAGAAGTATCGGAATAACAAGCGAGTTCGCGTGCTTACTAATTCCCTGTAAAAATCAATACAAGTTACAGTCCATTACAGTAGCAAAATTTTATTAACATTTCTTTTTCATGTTGGTTTCATTTTTTATTCTTTTACATAAATGTTACTACTAAATCTCTGCTGCTACTATCTTGAAACATAATGCATGGCACTGGAAAAAAGAATACACATGCACAATAACACACAAACTGGATACTTACACGCCCAATGCCACTTGGTACGTTGTTCATTTGTTATGTTTGCACTATGTTTACTACTGTAAACAATGTACATTGTTACTTCATTGTCCAAGCACATTATCCCACTTATGTATCATAGTCCAGCCCCTAATCTAATCTTGTATATTCTTTTTAATTTAATTTTTATATGTTTCATATTTTTTAAATGTTATATCTTCCTGATTGCCTTAGCACATCAATGGTTATTTTTACTTTTAAATTCATATTGTTGGCTCTTCTTACTCTGCTTCTTTATTCTGCACCGTCCAGGAGTGACTTAGGTAAGACGTTTCACTGCATAACGTGTACGTGACAAACGATCCTGAATCTTGAACCCCATTTTATGACCTCATTAACAGTTCAGTAATTAAATAATTTGTATTTAACCAGTCCTTTATCATGTTCAAATAGCTATTTTTGAGTTTTAGGGATATTGTTGAGGGATTAAATGGTGCTTCCTGGATAGGCCTGGAAGGGATTATAATTTTCCTCCATAAGAAATAATGGAAATTGCAACCCCATATTGCACCCCCACTTTGACAGCTGTCTGAGGAATCCATTACACTCTGGTAACAGGATATAGGTATATATTCTATATCACATTTAAAAGACAGAAAATAAAGGCCAGAAATCCTCTTATCAATAGCTGCCCTAACCTCACCAAAATATACTAATTATACTAGTTTGCAAACTAGTTTCTCCATCTTTCATCAAAAAACCATAATAATTACCTATTCACAATGGAATAAAAAAACCATCACACATGTGCCAGTCTACATGACAAACAAGTGAAACATTACACCTATGAAAATTTCACGATACTAATTGATACTTAGTAACACAATATGCAAAAGACGAGTCAGTAACACTAAAAATATGCAGATTGCACATTTTGTTCTTTATGAAATTAAAAATATAATGTGGCATGTTTCCATAGCACATACTAAATTAACTTGTCTGAGACATCTAAATCTGGAGATGCTTCAGTAGATTTATACTAGAGATTTATAATATTCAGTCATTATGGGACTGAGAATATAATACAAGATACTATGAGATAATGATACGAGATGATGCGAGTCCCAGGTGCGCTGTATATTACTGTATATCGCTGTCAAGAAACATGCAACTACAAGAAGTGCGGAATGTCAAACTTTTTGAGTAAAGTGCCAAAAGAGTAAAATTACTGGTCATTGCCAATGGATGCGCATTAGACCTACATTATGAAGTTTAGTTTTCCATTAGCATACGTTCTGATGCAAAAATATATACTGGTTTCATTTCAGGGAGGCTTCACTTGAATCAAATGTTTAATAACTGCAAAGTTACAGCCCCATTCTGTGTGGGTGGCAAGAGGGCTATTGCAATCTTAACCGAACCACAACCATAACACAAGCATCAGACATGTTATGGCTAGACCAGGTGTTGATCCGGATCACATTAGTGCTCGGCATTCAAAGCCAAATCAGGAGACAGGTTCGAGCTGAGATACACACACAACTTGCGCAGTTCGCATTAAACGTAGTGCTTGCCGATAAATGTGAAACGTGAAGCGTCATGTGACCTAAATTGCAAAGCCTTGACAGGGACAAAACAGCAGTCCTTTCATATTACTATGCTGAAAGTGAAAATACCTTAGCAACATACATATATAACAATTTATAAACAAAGACACATGAACAGGGTAACTGTCGAAAGCTTCTGATTTATTGGTTTACTAGTCACAGAAGACTGAAATGAAACAGTGAACTACCTGAGTTTTTCTGTATAGCACTGTTATATGATACATGAGGGATTGAAAATGCGTGAAGGGGAGGCCTTGATCGACCACTGGGGGGTCTAAAGATGAGGAAAGGTGAGTGAGGGGAGAGAGAGAGAGAGAGAGAGAGAGAGACGGACTGTGGCCTGCAGCCAGAATCCTGTGTGGTCTGCATGTTCCAGGCATCAGAGAGCTAAATCCGGCCAGGAGAGGGCACACACAGCAGCCGCAGCCTCACCGATCCACTGCCCCCCCACCCCCCCGCAGGCAAACTGCCGTTGTGCAGACTGGAAACTTTTGTTTCCTGGAGTATCCATGGAAGAGCCATTTTCCAGAACGACAAGTTTAATTTTGATTTCTAAACAGGAATTTCACATGCTCATGTCTTTACCTTTTATAACTGTACATTCACTCAATTATTTTGTTGACTTTTTGTTTAGGACTAAAATCATACATTATCTGGGCCTGGAACTTAACAGTAGTAGTAACAACAACAAC